TAGGATGACCATGAACCTTTGGTTAGATCCAAGACGAGCCTAGTGTTGGATCTCAGTCTAGGAATGGTGATTGATTTTATTTACGTGTTTAATCACATTAAGGCTTGTTTTCTTATTGGTCATTGGACCCTCTACTCCAATTTCATGCATATCAAATAAAACAAGAAAAGAGTACTTCAAAGTAAAGATGAGCTTATGCTCTTTTACAACACTTGATCAAAACAAATTACTTTAAAGTAAAGAAGAGCTTATGCTCTTTTACAACATTTGATCATATCAAATTACAACCAAAATCTAATCTACACATTCCCATGGTTCAAACAAATTTGAAAGATGGCCATTCACATAGCTCAATTATTGTAGGCTTAGGTTCATAATCACCCTTTGTTTAATTAATTAACGCTTTAACTAATTAAACTTGAATGCAACATTGTCATTCGGTTTTTGTATCCATAGAATTGATTTAGATGGAGCTAAAAGAAATGAAAATCCAATTCTCATTTAAAGATACAAAACTATTTTGTTCTCAACTAATTTGGGCCAAAAAGCAATAACCTCAACCATTGGGCTATATTGCAAAATACAAACTTTTGAGGCCACTTTGTAGAAAAATAAAAGTCCACTACTTCATGTAATTATAACTAGAACTCAAAAATTTCTACAAATACAAAAACTTCATTAAAGGAGCAAAACAATTTGTCCTTTAGTGATTTTGGGCATTTATGTAAAAACGTAAACTTTCGGGGCAAAGTACAAATACACAAAAGTATCAAAACTTTATGTAATTGCATAAAAACCCCAAAAGTACTCGCTTTGAAGGAGTGGCCGGTCATGGTAGTGTGAGGGAGTGGTTTTTGATGAAAAACAAAGTCTTAAAGTCAAGCATGTTGAAAAGGTGATGGGTATGATGTTGAAAAAATAGGTATGGGTGTGTAAGAGAAGTACCAATCATGTACAAAAAAAATCAAATACATTTTCCACTTTCAATCACACTTTAAAAAAATGTCTTGTGATTGAAAAGTCTCACCAACTAACACCAAACAAAGACTTTATGTAATCAACCAAACTTTGAAACAAAATACCAAACTTTTTGTTCTTGGTATGAACAAAGCAAGAACATTGAAGAACACACATGAAAACTCATAAGAGCTCCATGAATGTTTTCACTCAATAAAATTCAAAATTTTACTACTCAAAAGGGGGTTAACATCCTAGGGTACTTAGTGGTTCCAAAAGTCATTTTAAAACACTTTTAACATGACAAACATGAACCCAAAAATCTACCCTTTGGATTAGGGCAAATTTCCCCAAAAACATGGCACCAAATTTTAGCTCTAAAATTTATGCTCATATGAACTACTTCTACAACATTTGAGATGGTAAATTTTCTAACAAAAGGATTCACCAACTACTAGACCTAGGCTCTAATACCACTTGAAGGAAATATTTGTGAAAACTAGTTGATTTGAGCAACATCTATACATGCAATAAACAATTAAAGGCGGAATCATGCTTGTATGCACTCAAAAACAAAACTTTACTCATGAAATTCAAAGCCTAGTAGTTGGGTGAACCAAGACTCAACTCAAGAACAAAGTGAGTTGAGAAATCTTATACCTTTGTTGATTCCTCTTTGCATAAGCAAAGGCTAATCACCCAAGGAGAGGGCCTTCATTCCTTGCTTCCTAGCTTCAAGGATTTCTTGGAGGAGGATGGTTGAAAGGATTCTCCAAGTTCCCAAAGTAGAGAACCTCTAATTTTTCCACACCAAGGAGAGCTTTGATAAGGAGATGAGTGACCTAGGAAGATTTAGATGCTAGTAAAACCTTCCTAGGGTGGCCATAAAATATCGGAATGGTCCATAGGATGGTTGAATAGGCCCACAAATATCCCCTTGAATTCTTTGCAGAAATGATGGGGATTCAGCATTAACCTTCAGTTGTGATGGTCTAATTACCAACTTTCCTTGAGAACAAGCCTTGCAAGGGTTATCATTTGAGATAGCAATGTGTCTGTTCAATAATGGATATCCATTAGAGTTGGCAATGATTCTACGCATCATGGTAGATCTTGGGTGACCTAGACGGTCATGCCAAAACATGTAAATTTTTTAATCAATGAACTTCTGGTTCATGACAGTATGTGATTCAACTGTCTTTATGTGTGTATAATACAATCCACTTGTCAAACCATGCAACTTCTCCAATATACATATCTGGGTATCATTGGAGGTAATGCATAGATACTCCACATTTTCTGCACTTTTCGTTTCAAAGTGGTATCCATTTAAACGTATGTCTTTGAAACTCAACAAATTTCGAGTAGATTGAGTAGCGTACAACGCATTCTGTATGGACAATATTGTTCCATTTGGTAACATAATCTGGGCTTTCCCTGAGCCTTCAATCACATTTGATTGGCCTGATATTGTTGTTACCCTTACTTTTGTAAGCATCAATCTTGAGAAATACTTTCGATCTAGAAATATTATATGCGTGGTTGCGCTGTCTGCAAGACAAATATCTCTACCATTTCTCATGTTTTAAGAATGACCATAGTTTTTATCCATGCTTTCTGAGTAAAGGGGATCACGGTTAAAAACAATTTATAATAAGAAATTTAAATGCCACTTTTATTGAATTTGAAATGCTAGTTTTAAACTACAAGTTCAGCATATCAAACATAAATGATTCAGTAGGACCAGTACACTTCATTCCCCCTTTCCATAGTGAAGTTTGAGACATCTAGGTGGGTTGTGTTCAATTGCCCTGATAAGTCGCACACTAGATCGGGTATATCTATTGGTTTAGCCTGGTTGAGAAAATTGGTCTCAACACCCTTCTCCTTGATGGAGGCTTGATATAGATCCACCAGATGTTTTGGGGTACGACAAGTACGCGCCCAGTGCCCATTGCCACCACACTTATGGCAGGCTCCTTCAAAGTTTCTGGGAGCATTATTCATATGAGATCTTCCTTTTTGGCGATATACATTTTTGAAGCTCGGGCCTGAATTATACCTTGGAACTTGGTTGTGAAACTGGACACCATGATTATTGCCTTTCCCATTCCACCGTCCTCGCCTGTGACCACGTCCTCATTTATGATTATTGCCATCAGAGGGTGTGGCATTCACTTCGAGGGAAACAACATTCACTTTTAGGAATGGTGCAGATCTAGTAGGTCGGCACCGATGATTTTTCATCAGGAGCTCATTGTTTTATTCAGCTACCAGGAGCACAGATATCAGCTGGTTGTATTCAATGAAACCTCGCTTTCTATACTGTTGTTGTATGAGCACATTAGAGGCATGAAAGGTGCTGAAAGTTTTTTCCAATATATCTTCCTTAGTGATGGTTTCCTCATAGAGTTTCATCTGGGAACTAATTCTGAACATTGCAGAATTGTACTTAGCCACTGTCTTGAAATCATGTATCCTTAGTGAGTCCACTCATAATGAGCTTTTGGAAGAATCACCGTTTTATGGTGATTGTATTTGCTTCTCAATGCCTTCTAGAGAGCTAATAGATCTTCAACCGTTAGGTACTCGCTCTTTAGTCCTTCACTAAAGTGGCGATGGATAAAGATCATGGCCTTTGCCCAATCTTGAGCAGATGCACTGTTCTCCTCATTGATTGTTTATCCAAGATTCCCTACCTCCAAATGGATCTTGGTATCCACTATCCAGGTAAGGTAGTTCTTCCCAGTAATGTCCAGGGCAACAAAATCAAGCTTTGCCAAGTTCGCCATTTTCTTTTCTGAAAGAAAACTGAGATGTATAAGAACTTGCAATAATATGTATTCTGGAGGTATGTAATGTTAGAACTTATGGTTCTTACAAATTTTTCATTTTGATCTTCAGGCCAAAATGATAAGCACTCGAAACTTCTGGCTCGAGATTTACATGATGAATGAGCAGGGCGATTGTACCGCACCATTCTCATAACATAGGATGTGCGATTATTCCACACCATTTAAGTAGCAGGAAAATTTAAATATGCAGAGCAGGGTGGACGATTATACTGCACCACCTAAAATTGCAATAAAAGTAAACAACAGGCAAATTTAAATATGCAGGGTAGGGTGGGCGATTATACCGCTCCACCTAAAATTTGCAATAAAATTAGATCTGTAGTTCAAGATAGGCGATGATATCGCACCATCTTGGATTGTAATAAGATTAAATTGCAATCCAAGATGGGCGATTGTATCGCACCATATTGGATTGCAGTAAAATTAACATAAATAAACACTGGGTTAGTAGTCATGAGCTACACCAAACAAGAAATCAAAGATATAAGTAACTGTTAGGTTGAGAACTAGAAGCAGGCATGGTGCAAACAGTTCTCCACAAGAGTATATCCAGCAGGTGAGGAAGAGGAAGAAGAAGAACAATAAAATCCTTAGAGGAAACCTTTTTTTTTTTCTTTCGACGAAGAGAAATGAGAAATGGTTAGAGAGTCGTGCTGATAACATGTTATAAATATGCAAAAATTAGAGAGATAACATTTACTAGTGACACAAGTGAATCAGATGTAAAATATCACACTGTAACTATAACACAAGGGAATGACAAATAAAAGAGGGAAAGATATATACTGATGTTATTGATCTTTTCTTCTTCTTAGTCTGTTTTGATAGCACACGGAGTGCTCTATTTATAGAACAATTCCAAACAAGCGTAATAATTACACCTTGAAATTTACAGCACACACTTTTTAAAAATACAATCCTCATTCATTTCCCTAGTTAATATTACTATGTGGGCATTCATTAACCCACAAATATTTTCAACAAGAACACCTAAGTAACCTGTGTAATTTTGTAAAGAGATGACTTTCACATGCTATTTTTTATTTCTTATATATTTCTGCTAATTTTTTTTTTATCTTATTAAAAAAAATCAAACAAGTCAAGATTAAACCGGGGATGTGTTTTTATCATTTCAATTTTCTTACATCAGCAAAACTCTATCCGCTTCGGAATTGTTCGGTCTCCCTGGGCGACACGTGTCACATTACCCTTCTAAAAGTATGGTGACAACTTCCACTACCCGCTTTGCGATTTCCACAAATTTAGCTCTCTTTCCCCTCCTGCAAAAATGGCTGTAGCTCAAATCTGCGCCTCACTCTCCCTTTCAATCAGAGGTACTCTCTCTCTCTCTCTCTCTCTCTCTCTCTCTCTCTCCATCACTGAATATTGAATTTGCTTTTGTAAAAATATTGAAATTTCAAAATTTATAATTTGTTTGATAAATTCGACAGATGCAAGTGGAATTAGCTCAGCAGCAGGTCCTGCTCGGCTTCCCCATTTTAATTCCGGTAGAATTGGGACGACCTTTGCTTCTGGTTCTCCACTCAGTAAGCCCTTGACTCTTCTTTCTCCTTAGTTACTTTTAAGGGATGTTTTCATTTTTTAGTTACTTTTAAGGGATGTTTTCATTTTTTAGTTACTTTTAAGGGATGTTTTCATTTTTTTTTTTTTTTTACTACGTTCTTCTTAGGTTCGAATTTTATGGATGATACTAAATTATATTGTTCATTATGTAGTTTAACTGAACTCCCCTCCTTTAGTATAAAATATCGATGTACTCAAAAAAAAAAAAAAAAAAAAAAACCAAAGAAATACAGTTACTGACTTACAGCTTAAGTTCAGTTTTCTTTTCTTAAATGTAAATTAAATTCGAAATGGTTATCGAACGGACCCTGAAATCTATCATCGCTGGAAGGAGTTCAAGAACCAGGAATTATTTTTAGTTTTTGGAATAAGAGTAATGTAGCCCAATTGACACAACTCAAAGTTTACAGATTCTTGTATGAGTAACAGTTTAATTGACACATAAGCTTATACTCTAGGGTTGCTCGACTTCGAAAGTATTAGGACTATTGGGTTTTTGTTTGCTGTATTTAGTTGCTTAAGAGTTGATGTTTGATTTTGTTTTCAGTTATTAAAAGAGCATACCAACATAGGAATGCTGCATGTAAATCGATGCCAATTTCCATAAGGTGTGAGCAAAGCACCAAGGAGGGAGGTTTGGATGTATGGCTTGGCCGGCTCGCCATGATTGGCTTTGCTGTGGCTATTGGCGTTGAGGTATCAACCGGAAAGGGACTTCTGGAGGTATGACACAAGCTATGGCTTTTAACATCCAAACCAAGATTTCCAATTTACTTTCAGTTGCATCCGTGTTTATGGGAATTAGTGTTGGTTTCCGTTCGTTGAACCGTTGGCTTACTTGTGCCATTGATGATTTAACAAGTATATAAAAGATATTGAAAGGCCTAGAAATTAGCATCTTGCATTGTCCTAAAAGTTATCCTTCATGTTTGCTTTAAGTGCTGTTTACTAGGGTAGGAAACTTACTGAAATTCCAATTGGAATTACCATCTATAGATTATTGTTAGAATAAACTTTCTAATACTCGAGAGACTTGGATTCAAACTCAATTAAAATCTTGTCGATTTGAGTGGGTTCTTCCTATGTACACCAAGCCTCAGCGTTACAATGACCATCCATTGCAGCTGTGCTCCTTGACCAAATGAGCCTTTTGCTTCCTTGTTTATGACCTTTTGTTAACTCCTACCTGATAGATGATAATTATGATTCCTGATTTATTGTGATCTTTGCTTGATTTTCCTGTATAAATCAAATCTCTTAGATTAGCCTTCCTTTTATGTATTTCTTGAGTAGATAGAAAGTATACTTGTAAATCAAGGCTTTATAAACCTAAATAATGAACGAGAATCAATCCTCAAGTCATCGAGGAATTCAGCTGACATACCTTTTATGTTCTTAAAGTGATGAAACCTTCACGTCTAAAGCTGTCTCCTGATGATTTTTTTTTCCAACTTTTTTGATTGGGGTACGCCACTGCTTATGCAAACTTTTGCTGCCAATGACTGTCTAACACACGAGTTTTGAAGAATTTTTAGTTAAATTTCTCAGATGTCCAGCTTCTGTTCGGTCTAGTTATTTTTGGTGCTGGCAGACTTCCATGGGAATTGTTGTTGATGTCTCGGTTAATCACTTCAAAGCTTAATCATTCCTGACTAAGTTCTCCCTGTTCCATCCCTTAGAATGTTGTACTTGAAATGAAATAACCTCTTATTTAACTGATAATAAACAAAGAAGCTTCCCATTTTACCATGTAACTCAATGAGATCGAGCTTTATTTGACATTGTTCCTCGTCTTCTTTGTGAGTTATCATTCTCGAATCTCAACAAGTACAATTTATAGTAAGTTCCCGTTGTGATTGTGCAGAACTTTGGGCTTACAAGCCCCCAACCTACAGCTGCCTTGGGTGTTACAGCATTGGTGGGAGTTTTGACAGCAGTTTTCATCTTCCAGTCCGGCTCAGAAAAGTGAACACAGTTTCGGTTGCTTGGAAGTGGTTGTATGGTTTGTAATACTGACATGTATTCCAAATTCAACACTAGTTCATCACTGTAATTTTGTCAGAGTGCCAACACTTTCGGCGATACTTGAGGTTAAGGATGTATTATAATTGATCCATCTCAATGATGACATGCTCCCTAAAGCAAAATTAACTTTCTCATAGTGGAAATGCTTGTGAACTGTTTGGACTGGATAGCAACAAAGCATTTTGTCATCGACAAGCAAATGTGTGGTAGGCCGACGGCGTGCCCACACCTAGCACCCAAGTTTGAATCTCTTTACCATTAATTAGAGTGTATTAGAATCAATGTTTTAAAGGCGAAGGTGTGAGTGAGGTGTTTCATGGATAGCCTTGCCTAGGCAAACGCCTTGAGGTGTGAGACCTAAATTTTTTAATGTATATTATTCATAATATTTAAAAAATATAATACTTTGCAAAAACTCTTAACTAAAAAGTGAATAGAAAGGAAGATGGTGGGGTAATGTATATCAGCACATTGGGGTAATAAATGTTAGGAAAGCGGGGTAATAAAAAGTATAGAAAAACCAAAGGTGAAGAGAAAAGAAGACAGTGGGGTAATAAATATCAGCAAAGAAGGGTAATAAATGTACAAAGTGGGAAATAAAAAGTTTGGAAAAATGATAAATCAGGAGGAAAAAAAAAAAAATCGTAGCTTCTTCATCTTGTTCACTAGGCAGACTCTGCAACTCAAAGAATTCCATATTTTTGCAACTTAAAAATGAAAAAGGGACATCTCAGATGCACCTCAAGCGAGCCTCAACCGCCTAGGCGTGCCCCACAAAACCTAGGCAAGTATTTCGCCAACTCCCACAAAACAGAAGCGAAAATGTTGAAGCCCCGCCTCCAAAGGCAGGCGTGCTTTTTGAAACACTGATTAGAATATCGCGTTGTCAGATTCCTATTAATTAGAAATTGACTTGGAAAAGAAATATTTTCACCTAGAAGGAACATCAGTTGTAATGCTTTGTGAGAAGGATCTTAAAAAAAATTTAATTAGATGCAGACACAAATGAGTGGATATAAGCTTTTTTCAGAAGTTGAAATATTATCTTTGTAATTTCCAGGAAACAGGCCAACAGAATATTGGCCCTGCCCACTTATGTTGCATCAATGTTCCCTTATGATGCCAACAATTCCTGTTGCAGGTAAAATTAAGATAATTAATTTCTTTTCCCTCTTTTCTAATTTAGAATATATTCTCTTCACCTTTTGCATCAACCACCACTAATATTGTCCCCATCTGGGCTTTGCTTTCAACTCAAGAAATCTCTTTCCCTGTGCTTATGAATAAACTGATTGCAACCCTTGATGTATTTTCCTTCTCAAATTCTAAATCTTGTTTAAACTCACTGCTAATAACTTTGTTGACCTTGTGTTTTTGGAATGGGAGGAGCGGTTTCGCGAATTGCAAAGAGGTTCTTCCCAAAGAATGGAGTGAGGATTCTAATGGTGGGTCTTGATGCTTCAGGAAAGACAACCATCCTCTACAAGCTGAAGCTTGGAGACATCGTTAACACCATACCCACCATCGGTATTTATCCTTAAAATCCATCCTGGATGAAGCATTTGGTTTATGATTCTGTTGCAGTTCAATTATCTTTGGTTTTCACACTTGAGCCACTATATTTTGATCAAAAATTCTCCGTGCAGGACGTTCGTTGTTTTATTAAAGAACTAACGCGTATTGGTAGTGTTGAAATGTATCAGTTTACATAAGAGTATGACACTTCCTTTACTTTTATGGAGCAGGTTTCAATGTGGAGACAATAGAGTACAAAAATATTACCTTCACTATTTGGGATGTTGGTGGACAAGACAAGGTACCAAGCTCTTTCGCTCTTCTATCCGTCCGCACAAGGATGACTGATTTATACTTTTCTGGACGTAGTTGGAAATGGTTTTGATTCAATTAAGCGTTTAAATATGGATCAATTAAACTCTATGGAGCTTCGTATTGTGATCGCTAACTAATCTGTTCATCATCTCCTGGCTGCTCACCAGATACGGCCTTTGTGGAGGCACTACTTTCAGAATACTCAAGGCATTGTATTTGTTGTGGACAGCATTGACAGGGAAAGAATCTCAGAAGCCCGCAACGAGCTTCATCGTATTTTAAGTGAGGTCTGTGAGGTTTATATGTGAGGAATTCGATACCTGTTACAAAAAGGATTAAAACTGTGTTGAAGAAAAGGAAAGAAAGAGGTTTATAATTGTTGTCTCTTTTTGCAGAGTGAACTAAGCAATGCAACACTTCTTGTCTTTGCTAATAAGCAAGACCTTCCACATGCTATGAGTTCTTCTGAGGTTGCTGATAAACTTGCCCTGCACTTACTCGGGAATCGTTTCTGGTATGCGTACAACTTCTCTACTGTACATAAGTAGCTAGAAGAAAAGGGATTGCTTAATTTAAAAAACCTGCTACTGAAACTTGAAACAAAAGCCAACGTAACGCGACTCAAACGTGTTACAATCTGATCGCGTATTGATTCTGAGTTTTCAATGGAATTTTAATGAGTTTTATTGCATAGGTACATCCAAAGTACTTCTGCCACCACCGGCCAAGGACTCTATGAAGGTCTTGATTGGCTATCTGATAATATTGTCAATAACAAGGCATGATGCAAGGGGGCTTCTACAAAATTCAGACCATTCACATTCGTACTCGATACATTTTAGTGGAATCAAATTGGTTAACAATGGAAAGTGAACACGTCATTTCTTTGCAAAACCCTGCATATTTGGTTTGAATGGAGCTTCAGTAGAACCTGTCGGTTTGCGAAGTGACGGAAATTCAAGCCTGTCTTCCTGTCTTGGGGAGGTATAGAATCCCAGTTAGCACTACTCACTACTGTATTGATGAAGTAACCAGTATTCATTAATACAATCTCAGAATAAATGTTGATAGGTTATTTTTGGTCTGCTCCTTTTGGTTTCGATTTGAAGCATGTTGACATCAGATTCGACTTTACTCTTAATTTCAAGTTGCCTGACCAAGAAAAATATCTAATCTTTCGGAATAAGAGGCAAAGATACAATTGCGATTAAAAATTGTTCCAATCCAGAATGACAAAAGATTTTATGCTCAAATTTCGCTTCCTGGTTGCACCTATATAATCAACAGAGTCATGAAAGGTGGATGGATGAAATTCCACAGTTCAAGGTCGATAGATGAAAATCCATAGATTGGAGCCCGGCTGGAGCCTCAGATTTCTTCTGATTCCTCTTCTTGCTTCCAAATTTGTTCCTTTCATTCGGTTTCTCATCGACCACAGGCAGTGTGCTTATTATGTCTTGATAAATTGCACCTAGCGGATCCATCTGGAAAGCAGGATGATTAACAAGTGCACTCAGACGCTTTCCTTCCTTCAATCTGATGAAAACGTAACAATATCAGTCTATTATTCCCCTCGAATTTCCGTGATCTACTGAGAATAAAAATTTTAGAATAAAAAAATTGGAAAACTTACATTAGCTTGAACTTTGCAGCAGGAGTTAGTTCTAGTGAATCCTTCAACTCAGGCAGAAACTCTGAGAGGGAAGAGATATCATATGCATTCAGTTTCTTCCGTCGGATATGAAATTTCTTCTTCTGGTACAAGTGAAATTCACTCATTAGCATACATGATGGATTTTATTCAAAAGTAAAGCAATGGAGAAATCTGAAGAATGCCAAAAACCTAATCATGTTACTGCAACAAACAATATGCCTTGTCAAAGTCTTGCTAGCACAAGGAGGGGGAATCGACTCAAAATCAGACTCACTTGAAAACTGAAATATCTCTATTTTTCGAAGACCTGGGTGAAGACCAGTTGTCCAAGGCAATGTGCCCTCCCCTTGCATCCGAGTCCAAATTTCCCCTCCCCGTAGCAAATGTCAAATACATCATAATTTCCAGTTGCAAATTCACAAACAAACAATCATGCTTAAAAAAATTACCAACCATGATCACCACGAAAAATTAGATTCTTACCTTCAAAAAACCCTTCTTTGTACTCGAGGCAAGGGTTTCTTTACCTGAATTTTCACCCATGTCTGAGTTTGCTTCTTGAAATATTATTCCACTCCTCTAACGTATGACGAAATTTATGAGCAAACTTCCCTAGTTCAGAAGAAGGGGGTCACCGGTGTGGCTCAAGGAACTCTCCCACGGTCGAGCCAGTAAACTTCTAAAATTCAAACCAGTTGTCGGCTTAGAGCTCAAGGTATTATGGACCTTTTTTGTTGCTGGTATTTTGTACCTTGGTTTGTTCGTTAAGGGAGGATTTATACTGGCTCTAATGGAGTAAGAACAAACCATTTTAAGCATGTGTATATTGTTCTTAGCCGTTTTGGCAGCGCTCGATTTTAGGCATATCTAGGTTGTCCCTTCCCTTTTCAAATTCCTTGGATTCTTAGCCCTTTTTCTTTGGGTCCAAAGCCATGTTTTATATTCGGCTTTTTGGGACAATCTCTATGTGCTTAGTTCTTATTTCCTTACTTGCGTGTGAAGGCACTTTGTTTTTCTTCTCAAAATGAGAGATTTGTTTCCAAAAATTTTATCTTAATTTGCTCGAGAATTTTTCTTTTTTGATGCAAGCGATATTAGTGGAGAGAGGAATCAAACTCAAGAACTTGTGTGTAAGTGTTAATGCTCTTTAATGAGCTAAACTATATGATACGTTTGATAACCAATTCAGTTTTTAGGTTCTTGAATTTCCCTTTAATAATTAATCTAAAAATTATGTATGATAGGAAGATTCTAGGGATCCTAAAGCAATCTCATTTGCAGGTTGCTTTTGTTTCTTGACAAAATGAATTTAAGGGGGAGTAGTCAAATTAGGTTTTGATAGCATTTTAATGGATTTTGAAATCTGGGTGTATTGCATTTTAAAAGATCTTGAAATCATGGCATAGTCAAATTAAGATTTTAGAGGATTTTAAAAATCCATCAAAATCCAAGCATGGTCGATTAGGATTTGTAAATGAGTTTCCAGATGTCTAGGTGTAGTGAAAATACCAAGGATTTGCTAGGATTTTTATGGATTTGAGGGTCTGTGGGTATAAATACCAAATGTCATCAAGAATCCAATCCTCACCCGTCAGATTTCTTTTCATGCCAAAGGAACAGCCTTCTCCATTTGAGAGGACTTGCTGTGAACTTAGCCGCCTTGGACTTCCATGGTTGGCCGTTAAATCTTCGTAGGCATGAGAAGATGGACCTCGTGTTTGCAAGCCTTGATGGAGGCCACATGGAATATATTTTAGGGAGCTTTAATCAAAGGGGCTTGGATGAAGATTATTTTAACAAAAAACCAGCCTAAAATATTGTTTAACAAAAAAACTCTTCAAATTTAACCATAAGGACAAAAGCCCTAAATTATACACAAACTGAATTACAATGCCCAACACGCTCAAATGTAACTTTCCATAATTGCCTTAACAGAAATAGAGAAGGAGAAAAGTTTCTCTCTCTTCACTCCCACCTTACATGGTCCCACCCTTTCATATTTAGGAGGGTGTATTCAATTTGAATTTTCAGAGAGTTTCAGAGAATCTAATTCCATGGAATTTGAGAAGAAAAAAAAATGGGATTTTGAGTTAAAGTTTCATAGAATTCACATGAATTGTGAGAGAATTCTTTGCATGGGCTCAGAGAAATTCAGAGAGTTTATTCCTGAATTTCAAGAGATTTGTGTGAATTCCCATGAAATCACAGTGATTATTTTATTTCAAGAAAAGCCAAATTGATTGGTAAAATTGGGTTGTCCCAGAAGGCAAAAGAAAAAATTCGATGTACTTCTTGAATTTTGACCAATCCATTTATAGGCAACTATATCAAGGAGAAAATTTTCCAGACCAACATCAAGAAAGTACCACTAATAAAATGTTCAGGTTATGGAACCGAATCTTAGATCAAGTTAAGGTTCCTTTTTTGAGTGTAAATAAATATGCAAAGGATCTCCTTGACAATTCACTTAATAAGCGGAAGCTTGTGATTGCATTTGCCCACTTCATGTATTTTTCCTAGTGTAGACTTTATATCTCAACTAAGAAAGTTAATGAATTATGTGGAGATATGCCTCTAGTGAATAAGTATGGGAAAATCATTAGAGCTAGGAAGAAGGTGATTGTGGATAAGTATGGGAACATCATTGAAAACAGGAAGAGGGTTATTGTGCCTACCAATGGAAGCAAATGGGCAACACTGACTGATTCTAATTTGTGGGGGAAAGAAGGCTACGTTGAGTTAGGAAAAGATTATATGGCTGCCTTGTTTTGCTGGTAACTGTACAATACAGGAGAACCTCTTAGGGTTCCTTAAAGTCCGATTGTAACTACGGACATTCCTTAAAGTCCGATTGTAACTGCTCCCAGTGAAAATGCATTCTTGCTTTTGGACTGGATTCGTCGTCTGGCGCATAAACATTTTCAAGTCTCACAGAATTTTGCGAAGTGCATAGAATAAGGTGGTTGGCTGAAGGTTACTTTGAATGACTCTCCCGGTTTTAGGCCACATTTGCAGTCATTCCTAATTGACTTACATGTAAGAAACAGAGACCAACCTGCAAATTTTGCTGAACTCAATCAATAAAAACACTAATAGAATTTACCAAACAGTTCTTTTGAACATGAAAAGGAAACATTTTTCAAATTCAACATATGCCAATGGTCCTCAAGCCTTTTATTCTACCACCATCCTAAAATCCGAGGGATCAAGAATAGAAATTTAAAAAAAAAAAACCCCGTAAAATCAAATAATCCCCTCAATTTCTCATCTTTGAATCCTATCATTCATAGCATCTGTCCACATATTTGTAGCTATGCTAGCTTTCCATGCATTAGCAATCTATCATTGTTGCTATTTGGTTTGATTACCTGGTTCATCATCATTTTCTTCATCTTCAAATTCATCGTCTTCTGATTCAATTGGAAATTCATCAGAACGACACTCCTTGCGAAGAAAGTTGTGCAATCCTGCATAAGCTAACACTAACTCTACTTGTGTTTTAATTGGAAATGGAGGTGCTGACTTAAAAATTGTGAATCAAGATTTAAATACACCAAATATCCTTTCCACTACATTTCTCAAGGAAGCATGTCGAAGATTGAACAACTCATTCGCATTTACGGGGTCATGATTATTACCAGCAAAATCTTGGAGATGATACTGAACACCTCGAAATTGAGCTAAAAATTGGTGACGATTGGCAAATCCAAAATCAATAAAAATGAAAGATCATCATGTAAATAATATATTCGATAAGAAAAAGAACTCACCCTTAGGAAGCCCTCCCATACTTCATCACTAGCCGTGAACTTCTTTGTGACGGGGTCCCAACCAAATCCAGAACTACGCCTAAAAAGCTGACATATTGATTGATATCGACCCCTCAACGTTTTCACACAGTTCTTAACATGATCTTGAGTTTTTTGACACCCAAGTTTTTCATTGAGCACAGGAACAATTTTGGCTTCTATAGTCTGCTTGCTTATCATGCCATTAGCATCACGCCATCCATTTTTTACGGCCTCAACAAGTAGTTGCAACATCATGTTGCTCTCTTCCACAAACCATTGATTGTAGTTTCCTTTTCCATTTTCTTGATGTGAATCTCCCATTTATGATCTTTTAGATGATACATCATAATTATACAACGAATCAATGCACACAATAAAGACTGAACTACATGCATAGGATTGCAAAGAAGACAAATTGAACAACAGACCAGTCAAGTATCACGCTAGTTACATTGACATTTTGACCGAATGCTAAAATCTCACCCTTATTTGATATAAAATCAACGGATGCTAAAAGCATGATAACCAAACACATAATGAACCCTACAATTAATGGACCCCAAAACCATCTTTGTGGATTCCAGTTGATCTTTTTTACAATGAAAAGCATATACAAGGTGAAAAAATCAATTCGACAATTCATGTAAACTTGTTAAAAAAATCAATTCGACATCCAACAGATATATATTTTTTTTTATAGATTTCGACATCCAACAGATAAAATACAATATAATTGAACAATATGAATTCAGATAAATCCTAGACTAGAAAACCCTAACCCTAGAAAACATCAATTCGACATCCAACAGCAAGCCATAAACCCACACGCATATTCAACAAAACACCAAACCATAAACCGACATGCATATAGGCCTGGCAATTTCTGACACGACCCGATAACCCGACACGACACGACACGAAATTAACAGGTGTTTGGGTCGACACGATAACGAATCGGGTCTTATCGGGTAACCCGATAAGCACCTGTTAAGATAACGGGTTGGGTCGGGTATACACGTGGGTAAACACGATACACGATAAGCAGAATATTATTTTTATAATTTTATAACCCTAAAAAAATACTGTAATAATTATATACATTAATTTTACAATTTTATACCCCTAAAAATTATAATATATATATATATATATATTTATATATTAAATTAACTATAAAATTTATAATAATTATAATAATTATATATACTATAATAATTATACTCCCAAAATATTAAGTCTATCTATACTAATTTTATATATATATATATATATATATATTAAATTTTATAAAAACTATAATAATTATTAATTAATAATTTAATATGCATGATCATGCATTGCATATTTGCATGATTTTGCATCCATTGAAATTTGATGCGTCAGGACTCAGATGTGATTTGTTTCCATTCTCAAATTTCAATAATCAATTTCTTGCCATTGCCATTTGCCAACTTGCCGCCCTTTTTGAAAAAAAAATGGAGGGAAAATGAAAATGTTAAGAAAAGTTGAAAATAAAACAAAAAAGTGAGGGAATTAGGGAAAGATGTTGGAGGGAAAAGTGAAAATGATAAGAAAAAGTTGAAAAGGAAACAAAAAAGAGAGGGAAAAATGAAAATTAATAGAAGTGGTGAATTTTTTTTTTTTTTTAAGTTATTAACTTTTTATCACACACATGATTGTCATGACATATCTCACTATTTTTATAATGACACACGTGACACGTGATGTATGTACTATTCCGTGTACCAGTCAATTATAATTTGTACGTACAAAATAAATAGATTTAAATCTACTTAATAAATATATATATACACACACACACACGGAACTTGATTAATGGCATACGAATTCTCCAAAACTAATTTCAACGATCCCAACCGTCAAACTTGTTTGTATATGCTTTGAGATCACATCAACAAAAAATCATAAAAAATAAACATTCAGAGATCAA